GCCTTACAAGCTCCCAGGAATTCATAGTCAGGAAGCAGATCTAATGATGGGTGAAATGACACACTGTCAGAGCAGTATAGTGAAACAAGTGAGAATCATCCAGAGGCATGGAAAAAATTACCAGGTACTAGCCCTCAGTCAGAGACTCTGCTTCGAGAAAAACTAAGAATCTTTTTAAGAACTGTGTTGGCTTGCTTGCTTCAGATTTGGAGATTTACTTGCTTTTTTCGATTTTTTTTTTTTTTTGAGATAGGGTTTCACACTGTAACTCAAGCTGGCCTGGAACTCACTTTGTAGCCCAGGCTAGACACAAATTAATATAATAATTTCCCTGCCAGAACCTTTCTGATGCTAGAACGATAAGTGGAAGTGGCCATGCAACCCATTTTCTTTGTGTGTTGCAGTACTAAAAAGTGAACTTACCTAACATTGTGTTAGGTGAGTGCTCAACCTTTGAGCCATATCCATGGTCCTTTACATTTTATGTTTTCATTTAGATACAGTGTCTCACTAAGTTGCCTAGGTTGACCATGAACAAATTCAGCAGCCTAGACAGGCCTTGACCTTTCTATTCTTACCCCAGCCTCTAGAAGGCTAGGATTATAGACCTGTGCTACTTGGCATCAAAATCTATCTTTCAAATATCATTCCACGTGGCTCCAAGGACAAATTTGGGTAACTATTTAAATGAAGGTACACATAAGTGGAAGATTTCATATATATTACATATTAACATATAATTACAACTACATATCATATATAATTGCTATAAAGAATAGAGCATAGAAAATAAGGCTGTGTATACCTTTGATGGAGAATTAGCAAAAACAAGGTAGCACAGTATCTGTAAACTTATTTTTTTCTACCCAAAGCAATTCCTTGTGTTTCTGTTTTTGTACGACAGATGTTAGTAATAAAACTCAAACACGACTTCTGTCTTCATGATTGGAGCTCTATGTCCTAGCAAACCCTTAGCCAAACATGAAAAATGCTCATGTTCAGTACCAAAGTGGTGCAGTGGCACAGCTTCATCAAGGATGTGTTAGGTGACAAATGCCAGTGGATGGTTCAGTGCCCCAGTGTTACACTCATGATCTTTGTTGTTTTAGTTCCACTCTAATGGAATTTGATGCAACATCCTAGAGTAGAGATGCAGCATCCACTGAGTTACACTTGGTAAATCTCAGCAGGAAAAAGAAAACCCAACTTAAATTCTCCCTACTCCAAGCGATGGATGTAGCTATGCCCAGCCTAATACCAACATAGTTACGCTTCCCATGCTCTTTGTCTACAAGGGTACCATAAGTTTAGACATGATCTTCCTACCTGAGGCTGTGCCATGAGCCTTATCCTTTATCTGCACACATATGTTATGTATCATGCTTGCTTAGAGGTAAGTACTATTTTCATTATGGCAATGAGTAGTATGATTGATACTATTTAAATACTTTACTGATATTTTGAGCCATAATATGACATATGCTAACTTCTCTAAATAGATTGTTGGCATTTATAGCTACTATGTGCCCGTATAAATAAATGACTAACAAGGAAATCATGTAAAATATTCTATCAAGTACAACCTTTCTGTATCATGTAATTTAGAGATTGTAAAAGAAAATATCAAACTCTGGGCTTCTTCCTGAGAAATTCAACAGATACCAGGTGACCAATAACCATATGAAAGAGAAAATGACTAATTTTTTAAAAAAAATACTTTGAAAAATTTGTCCATATGTGCAATATTGGTACTAATTTTATTTACAACAGTAACTGTAACATGTTAGTTAAGGAGCTACATAATAGCCAAAGAATTTTTGTTTTCCTAAGTTAGAATAAAAGTGTGTTTTCACTTTTGCATAATAGCTTCAGCTAGAACTGCATTGATAGAACTGTGATTTAGTTCGTATTTAACAATAACACATACAAAACATCCAGGGACCAAGCTACTTGGGAAACATTGATGTAAATAACTTATTGAAGGACTGGCTAGATGGCTTTACAAAGATGAAGACCAAGTCTGGTTCCCGAGCACCCACATGAAGGCTAGACACTGGTGGCAAGCATTTGCAACTCCAATGTTGTAATGCAGAGGTAGAAGGATACTGGGACTTGACAGCCAGCTTTGCCAGAGCAGCAAGCTCCAGGTTCATTGGGAGCAATTTTCTCAGTTAGTACAACAGAAGATAAAGGAAAACACCAGCATTAACTTCTGGCTTCCACGTGTGTGTGTGTGTGTGTGTGCGCGCGCGCGCGCGCGCGCACGCACACACACACACACACACACCCAGGGTGGTGGTTAGTTAATGAATACTTCTGAACTGAGGAGACAGTTCAGCAGGTAGGACAGTTCAGTGTAATCATGGAGACCTGAGCTTAAATTATCCTCAAACCTCACATTTAAAAAGGAAAAGAAAGGTGAGTGTAATCCTGTGTGTCTGTAAGCCAATGTGGTAGAGGGTGGAGACAGGACAGTTGCTGGATCTTTTTGGTGGACAACCTCACTTCAGCTTTAGAGGGAGATCCTATTTCAAAGGAGTATGGAAGAAAGGGATACAGCAGGATGTTCAGCATCTGACTAATCCCATCCCATCCACAGACAGGAAGTGATGGGGTGGAAATGGAAGCAGGGTGAAGCTATAAACTCTTAATGCCTCCCTGGTAAGGTACCTTCTCCCACAAGGGTCCATATCCTGAGTGTCCTGTAATCTCCAAAACAGCAGCTGAGGACCAAGTATGCAAATACTTGACCCTCATAGGGAGCATTTTTTCTTTTAAACCACCACAGTAAGCAAACCCATGGCCATAATCAAATGTGTGGACTGTGTGTACACTGTGTGAAGGAATAGGATAAAATAGCCTATTTTGTTACTGTTCAATTACCAACTTGGCTGTGATTGTAGGACACACATGAATGTTACTTCTAGGTAAATTAAACAGACTGAGCCCCACATTTCCAAGTGTAGGTCTAGTATGGCTGAATAGTTTGTCAGTGTCTTCTAGCCAGATTTCTTGTATTTTATGTGAGCAAACTAGGGCTACAAAGATTCACCAAAGCAATCTAGGGAATTAATGGAGGAATGCATACCCACCCATGCATACTTACATGCCTCTATCCATCCTTCACTTCATGTATACATTCATTCAATATAATTTAATAAGCACTCACTTATTAAATGTCTGTGTATACTACAAACACACACACACACACACACACAATGTGATCAAAATAAAGCAGGTCTCTAAGCTTATGGCCAACATTTGGATTGCATAGTATAGTAGGACTTAGAGAGCCGTTAATAAAATAGTCATACAAGTGCACAAATAATTTCAAAGATAACTTCTCTAAAATAAAGTGGCATGTGCTTTGTAATTGTGACAAGGAAACCTGGATTGAAAGAGAGGGCCAGGAAGGGCTTCTCAGAAGACAAGACTAAAATTAAGCACTGAAGCCTAAATAGAAATTATGAGGCAAAGAAGGAGGGTAGAGAGAGAGATACAGAAGCCTTGCAAAGAGGCAGAGGTGTTGTGTTGGTTTAAACGGGGGAAGTTCCCCATAGTCTCCAGCATTTGAACATATGATTTCCCAGTAGGTGGCGCTGTTTGAGGATATTTAGACGTGCAGCAGCCTTACTAGAGGAATCATATCACTGGCTTTGAGGCTAAAGCCTTGTGCCACTTCTAGTTTGCTCTCTCTTCATGCTTTCCTTTAAAAATGTGGGGTATCAGCCACCTGTTCTTATTGCCACATCCCTTCGTGCCATGATGGACTCTTACCCTCTGGAACCATTAAAACAAATACTCCTCTTTAAATTACCTTGGTCAGGGCAGGTTATCACAGCAACAGAGAAGTTACTAACACAGGTGTTTATTGGCTAGAAATAAAGCCCAGCATGTTTGGGGGCAAGACAGTAATGAGGGAGGAGCAGGAAAGACTAGTGGGAGAAGCTGTCCTAGACCTGCCAGGACCTGTAGTCCAAGTTTAGAATTTTTATCTTTATAATGAGAGTCATGGCAAGCTATGCAAGACTGTGAGCAGAAGGATAATATTATGGTTCTCATCTTTAACAGTTTTATTTTCACCTGGGTGAATGCCAGACTCATAAATGCTATTTTGAGGTATTGGGCTTTCCTGTAACTTTGAGGTTCTAAGTGGTGGCCTGGAGAAGGAGCACGAGAGAGGGAGGGAGAATAGCAGCAGGGCCATGAAGGGATATGGGGAGGGCCTTGCCATGGCCCATCTGGCTTAACGTGACAGTCCTGGGGCTCTCTGATGAGCTCCCATGGAAATAGTCATGTTAAAAAATACAACTGCTTAGAAGGAGTCACATGTGGAAAAAAATTTACATGTGGTTTGTGATCTATGTAAGGTTAGCTTTTTCATGACTTTACATGATTGTTTTAAGATACTTTATGTGGTACTCCTGGTCCAGTTTCTTTTTGTAGATGTATGTATCAGAGCTAAGAAAATAGCCTGTATTCAGATGGCCCTTCTTAAGATTTCAGAGGGTAGGAATTCTGACTGATCTCATTCAACCAAGTGGAATTCTAAAATGCATCATTGTAAAATGAATAGGAAACCAAGCCAGGCTTTGCAAGTGGGGATGTGTGGTGGAATACATACAGGGAAGGCTAGGGGAAGTTCAGGGCTGCTTCAGAGGCAGCTTTTAAATTCAGCTCTGTGAGGTCCAAAGTTGTTGGAACTTCACCTCCCTTCCTAGAAGTTCTTGACATGTTTTATTTTTACTGCCGTAATATAGTATTCCAGCTGCCCTGAAATATTCACCTTCCTCTACACAGCCCCCCAACCATCCCTCCCAGGCTACCAGAGTACTCTCTAAGCCTGGTTGCCTGTCAGCAAACACACTATTTAGGAGTTGAACAGGCACTTTGCAATGGCCAAGCCTGTACATACCTGAGAGAGAATGGATGAAGAACAAGTTTAGAATTTAGTTGGGCTATTAACCTTGTTTCTAATAATGTTTCTTCCTCCTCCTAAGTCCACATCCCTGAAAGAAACACAAGGAGAGCTCTCAATCTGAAGGATATTTTAAACGGAACATTCTCATACAAAACATTTTTTCCAAACTGGATTTCAGGTAAATGAATCATTTCCTATCTTCTGGGAGTTTGTAAAATATATATTCTTTTCATTGTTGGTGCCAAGTTTCTTTTATAATAAGTGGAACTACTGTTCACCAACAGAAATGAATGGAGACAAATTATTCAGAATATTCAGGGAACCTTTTTACACCACCATTCATCCTGGGCTTGCACAATTGTTATGAAGCTGCCTTGAATCTTAGCAGGAAAGAAAAAGTTAGGCTCACTCTGTGTGAATATTGTCAGTGAATGGCATTGCTTCTGGGAGCAGGAAACAGGTCACTGTTTAGGAGGAGTCATGAGAATTTTACCCAAAGGGAGAGTCTATCATTGATCTAAATAATCTAAGAGCAAGCTGGTTTCCTCCCTGGCAAAAACAGACCTTTAAGGATTACAGGGTTGATATTCATAATTTTTATAATTAGAGTATGGTCAATGAGGTCTAACCAAAAAAAAAAGGTAAGATTAAGTAGATAGAAATATACTTGTATATATAAAGGGTCATTTACCAAAGTAGAGCATTGCCATTTTTCTCTTTAGAAAAGAAAATTCATGTAAAGTATCTGTTACAGTAAATCAAACAAAATCCAAATTATATTTATTTCATTATTACAAAAGAAACTCACCATTTTAAGCTAGTTTGTCCTCTTCATAGCTCAGAGAAAATGACATTTTATTTCTGAGCACCTGAGTAAGTTAGAACAAGGGCTGCTGCTAGCAAATGTGCCATCTTTATGATATGCAGAAAAAGCACTTTCGTCCCTCCCATCATCAGCTTCTATGTGCTGAATAGAGACCAAAGCAAGGTGTATCTGTGGAACACAGGGTGTTCTTTTGCTATGAATATTTTCTTTAAGAGCAATCATTTTATCTTTTGCTTTCTTTTGCACTTAAAGCACAAGAATATCTTCATCAATCTGCGGATGATAACATAGTGTTTTATAATATTGAAACGAGAGAATCATATGTCATTTTGAGCAATAGCACCATGGTATGTATCGGCATCTTTGACTCCCTCAGAAACCTTTGCAAGCACCCCACTGACTCAGGACCACATTCAAATTCTTAGTGGTGATCTGGATACAACCCATCTTCCTACCTCCATCTCTAGTGTCGTCTTGTAGACACGCTGAACCACTGGCCCCCTCCTCTGCCCTGTCGCATATTATCTTTTCTCTTTGTCAAAGTAACATGGCATAAGATATGAATTAGGAACCTAGAGTCAATAACCGAGATTCAACTTCTATCACTAATATGAAGCTTTGAATAAGTTACTATACTACCCCAGCTTGCTACGCCTCAGTTTCTTCTACTATAAAGTGAGGACAATAATGCTTTTTCAGGCTAATATAAATGAAATAACAATGAAAAGTGCTTAGTGATTGCTTAGCATATAATAGATGCTGAATGAATGGTACCTATGATGCTTGGTTAATACTGTTCTTTATTACTGGGCTTTCAATCCTCCTACATCTCTACCCTCAAGGATCCACTAGTCTTTCAAACTGAGCTCAAAGGAGATCCTTGTAGTTTGCATAACCAGTTCTCCTCTCCTTTCAATTCCCTTAATGCTTTTGCAATGTTGTGCAGAATCACTTTTTATAACTGTCTAATTTGCATTGTCACTCATCTGCAAGATTTAATATTATATGCTTTTGAAATTACTGTGTTTTTTATTGCATCTTCCCATAGTGCCTAGAAAATCCCCTCATTTGTACTAGGTATAGCATCCATTTTTGAAAATTGCACTGAAATTGTGTGTGAGTATATCAATGATATGATATTCCTTTAGAACAAAAAATTATGACAAGTTTTTTTCTATATTCTAACCAATTTCTTTATAATTTCAGAAAAGTGTAAATGCTTCAGATTATGGCTTATCACCTGATCGGCAATTTGCATATCTAGAAAGTGATTATTCAAAGGTATCAACTACTTAATTTTGATATGTATGCATATATGGAGATAATTATTCCTCCCATTAACATACAAGTTAGGGTATTAAAGTAGGAAAATTTAACTGAAATTAGGAGAGGAGGTTCCTACGAGTAGGTGTCTATATCTATCTCTAAACATGTAAAAAATCAATGATTAAATAAAGAATTGCTGAAACATACAAAATAATTTATATTTGACATTACTTTATTCTTGTTATCTGGTTATCAAGTAACAGAAACCAATTTTTTTTACAGAGGTAAGAAAATTTTATTTGGGCATACTGCTATCCATCAGAAAAGGAGTAATTGTTCTGCTATCTCTTTGTCATTGTAACACATTAGTTAACTCTTATGCAGTTTAATCTCACAACACTATACTGATATTCCAAAAAGAAGAATCAAGGTGTAGCATATTAACTCATATATCAACATAGGAGTTTACAATAGAAGAGGTTAACATTTTGTGTATTTGAAAGCCTAATCTTTTTCCTTTAAATTAGAAACAAGCTTGTTTTACATGTCAATCCCAGTTCCCTCTCCCTCCCCTCCTCCTCTGCCCCCAACAACCCCCTATCCCAACCCTTTCTGCTCCCCAGGGAGGGTGAGGCCTTCCATGGGGGAATCTTCAAAGTCTGTCATATTTTTTGGAGCAGGGCCTAGACCCTCCCCCGTGTGTCTAGGCTGAGAGAGTTTTCCTCTGTATGGATTGGGCTCCCAAAGTCCATTTGTATACTAGAGATAAATACTGATCCACTACCAGAGGCCCCATAGATTGCCCAGGCATCCTAACTGACACCCACGTTCAGAGGGTCTGGGTTGGTCCTATGTTGGTTTCCCAGATATGGGTCTGGGGTCCATGAGCTCCCCCTTGTTCAGGTCAGCTGTTTCTGTGGGTTTCTCCAGCCTGGTGTTGACCCCTTTGCTCATCACTCCTCCTTCTCTGCACCTGGATTCCCGGAGTTGAGCTGAGTGTTTAGCTGTGGGTGTCTGCTTCTGCTTCCATCAGCTACTGGATGAAGAAAGCCTAATCCTTTAGTATTACTGGTACTTAATTTTCTCTTCCTGAATGAATAAGTGGTAGATAGATGACGGTTATCTCACTCTTCTCCATATGTGACGAAAGCATGAAGCAACTTACTTTCATATTAAAATTCTTTAGTTCTTTTGAGACCTTTTCTTTGATAAAGGAAGGCAGGCAGGAAGGAAGGAAGGAAGGAAGGAAGGAAGGAAGGAAGGAAGGAAGGAAGGAAGGAAGGAAGAAGAAAAACAAAAGTTGCTTTGACTACACATTTCAGATCTTCCCTGAAATGAAATTCCCTGTTAAGCTTTCCTTCCTTTTCTGACAGGGAGGTCATTCTGACCACTATAGAGATTCCCCAGTCAGAGGCTTACTCTCCAGTAGCCCAGGCCCCAGTGACCCAAATCCTCAGAAATATGCATTTCAGCTTAATGGAGCTTGTTAAAAGATTGAAAGGAAACAGAATCCAAAACAATGCTTGTATTAGTCACTAAGCCCATCATACACTCAAGTAGATAAAGGGCAGCTTTGTTCAGTAGGAATGTTAAGTTAAACTCTCTGATTTATTTTTCAACTTCTATGGTTTAAACATATACGCCCAAAGAAAGGAAGACATTTGTAACAGGCTGTCCTGTGAAATTCCTTCTAACCAATTTTAAAGAGTATTATTCTTACCAAGGTGTGATGCAGACACTAGAGGCTATGAACATCATAGGGGCCTCCTTCAACCTAGAGGGGCCTTCTCAGGACAAAGTGTGTCAAAGATGAGTTTTTTATACTAGGAAATGACTCAGGGTATGCTTTTGATGGAGTAAAAGTTAGATCATCCTGAGGTGCCCTCTGGAACCTAGAAAAACAGCTTGAAGTATACGGTGAAAGTAAATGAAACTCTGCCTTGCATTGAAACATGTCTCCTCTAGAACCTAGTGAAAAATCTATCATTATTTTTTTGAATGAGCTTTAAAACTTTATCCTCTGTCTTTGTCTCTCTTCCTAACAGCTTTGGAGATACTCATACACAGCAACATACTACATCTACGACCTGTGGAATGGGTAAATCACCACCACTATTAATGTAGCTTATCTCTAAGACTCCTAGCTCTGATCTGAGCTTAATACTACATTGTCTTGTTACTGATATTACATATGTAGTTTGCAATAAACATCATCCCACGAAAAGGACAACCCTCTGATGATCAACCTGTTTATTGAGCTACTATTGTGCATCTTTATATACAAAATATCTTTGATTTTCTAATTTCAAAGAAAAAAATGATAGATGTGCTACTTATGGAAATAAACACATGTAATAAAAAAGTTTTTTACAATGCATGGGAATGAGACTATTTTAAGGAGGTGGCCCACTGCATTAGAAAGAGGCTGGAGACAGAAGGTATGGCAACAACCATTGTCTGGATACACATGCCACTCACTGATTTAAAACTGACTGTTTGAAAAATGTCAAAATGCTTATTTTAATCCTTAAGGTGTTAAATCTATCTCAGTTATAGATGGAATAGACATTGTCATTTATATACTATTTTCTTCATTTTTATGTACGTTCCAATTACATGAAATAGTTAAAATTTAACAGAAAAAATGAATGTGCAGGAAGACTGAAGGACAGTGTTCTAGACAGAAGAGTATATGATGGCTTCCACAAAGATTTTTGTTAAAAAACATTAAATATCTCACTTCAACTAATTAGAAGAGAGCAGCCTACTAGAGAAGGGTATACATGGTTGAAAAGGACTTCGGGACTGAGCCGGGCACACGCCTTTAATCCCAGCACTCAGGAGGCAGAGGTAGGCGGATCTCTGTGAATTCTAGGCCAGCCTGGTCTACAGAGCGAGTTCCAGAACAACCTCCAAAACAATACAGAGAAACCCTGTCTCGAAAAAACAAACAAACAAACAAACAAAAATGACTTGGGGACTGAAAACAGTGGCCAGTAATGACTAGATAACTATTAAAAAGAGTTTAAATCTATTTCTGATGACAAAAGGAAACAATAAAAGGATTTTATAGGAAATGACACAATTAGACTTGTACATTAGAAACGTCACTCTGGTTAATTGAGGAAACAGGTTAGTTTAGTTACTCATCATAATATGATACCCTCTTTACTGTTATACAAAAAGTAAGAATAATTGAATGTCTTGAAGAGGTATTAAAAAACCTCTTCTGAGCTATTTTTCCTTTTGTCAAACAAGGAACAAAATAAATGTTTTAAAGTCACCTCTTTATTTTAAATGTTCAGGCAAGAAACAAGACCTGGTTTTTACATTGTCGTTTCCATTAATCTAATGGGTTTGAAGTTTCCTTTCTGTTTCAATATCACCACTAAAGGCAAGAAGTATTTCCAGAGCTCTATAGCCTGAAAAGCATATATAGAAAAATGCAAATGAGCTGAAAGAATCAACCCTACTCCTAAGAACCCTTCAGTCTTGTAGCCTTGTAGAACAGTTTTATTCAGGCTTTAATCATGTTTTTTTTTTATCATTTAAAAATTCTTGGGGTTGATATTCACCACAATGAAAAGTACCCAAATGAAAGTATTCCCAAATAAAATGATAATTATTAATTTCTTAACAATGGTTTAGGTAAGGTTGTGTCCTGCAACTATATTACCTATTTAGCTTATCTTTAGTAAATCTAGGCAAACCATTGGATTTGTTGGTTTGTTTTTTGGTTTTTTTTTTCTTTTTTTTGTGTGTGTGTGTTCTGTTTAATTTTTAATTTTTTAGATATTTTTGGCAAGGTAAAACATATCATTTTAGTTGTAGATGACAAATTGGTTGAAAGTCAAGTTTTGATTGAATACCACTAATACAGTGCCTCTGCCTCTGAAGATTATTAAAACCTCTAACCAAAAAGCCATTTGTGATTGGTACTCACTGGCATGGGAAAAAAAAAACAACTTTCTCCAGTGGCATGTCACCGGGTGTATCATCCACCACACACTATGGTGGGGCTCATGCCCAGGAGCAGGTGATGAACACAAAACAAATTCTGTAGTTTTTGTTGTTGCTGTTGGGGATTTTTTGTTTTTGTTTTTTATAATATTATTTGTTCATTTTTATTTTCATTTTTGTGCCTTTTGAAAGAGAGAGAGAATATCAGGTTAGGTGGGTAAGGAGTTAGAAAGGATACGGGGGGGTGGGAACATCCTCACAATATATTGCATGAAAAACTTTAATGAATTAGTCTAGCACAGAATAGTGAAGACAGCTGTGGTTTAAGCAAGGTGGGAATTCATAGGTGACAGCTTTTATAGTACATCTCCTTTCTCCATCTTTCATGACATTCATGACTCATAAAAACACAAAATGACAGCTCAGGTGATGTTCCAGTCATAAAAAGACATGCAATTGGACTTGCAGCTTGCCATTGTTTATGTCATTGCATAGCTTAACTGTATTCCATACAGAAAACTTAGGCAATTTTCTGTAACTTAGGGCAGGTACAATATAACATTGTCAATTAGGCAGTGTTACAATGTCAGTCAAATGTAATATGAACATTAACTTGATACAGAATTGTAAAGCAGGTAAAGAATGGCTTCTGATTCTTCACCTCAACTGTATCTTTACATCTTCATTGTATCCTTGACTTCTCATGTGCCTGGCTTTCATCTATTGACCTCTCATGTGCCTGGTTATCATATATTGACCTCTAGCTACCAGAAGTCCCACTGCAATATAGCATTCATCTTCTCCTTCCCCCATACTTTTTCCTATCCAATGTTTGCCTCATTGTTAGGTATTGTTCTGTGTGACATAATAAATTCAGTCAAGACAAAGTGCATTACAGGTCTTCACAGGTGTCCAAGTGTGAGGGAGAAGGGAAGGTAGAACTGACAAGCAAATGTGAGACCCATGGTATACAGACAGTTAGCAGAAAGGAATGGGGTCTTTTTGAGTATCTGCACAATGGTCTTAGGAGTAGATATTGCTTCTCTGTCCCACAAAAAAAAAAAAAAAAAAAAAAAAAAAAAAAACAGTCTTGAAGACACTATTAAGATGACTTTTCAAGCAGACAAACTTTCAGCATGGCAACTTATTCTTTTTTTTCATTTTTTTTAATTTAAATTAGAAACAAGCTTATTTTACATGTCAATCCCAGTTTCTTCTCCTTCCCCTCCTCCCCTGCCCCCTACTGACCCCCTATTCCATCCCCTTTCTGCTCCCCAGGGAGGGATGCCTTCCATGGGGGAATCTTCAAAATCTGTCATATCATCTGGAACAGGGCCTAGGCCCTCCCCCATGTGTCTAGGCTGAGAGAGTATCCCTCTATGTGGAGTGAGCTCCCAAAGTCTATTTGTATACTAGGGACAAATACTGATCCACTACCACAGGCCCCATAGATTGCCAGGGCCTCCTCACTGACACCCACATTCAGGGGTGTCTGGATCAGTTCTATGCTGGTTTCCAGCTATCAGTCTGGACTCCATGAGCTCCCCCTTGTTCAGGTCAGCTATTTCTGTGGGTTTCTGCAGCCTGCTCTTGACCCCCTTTGCTCGTCACTCCTCCCTCTCTGCAACTGGATTCCAGGAGTTGAGCTCAGTGTTTAGCTGTGGGTGTCTGCTTCTGTTTCCATCAGCTCCTGGATGAAGGCTCTAGGATGGCATATAAGGTAGTCATCAATCTCATTATTTGGGAAGGGTGTTTAAGTTAGCCTCTCCACTATTGCTTAGATTGTTAGTTGGGGTCATCCTTGTAGATCTCTGGACATTTCTCTAGTGCCATATTTCTCTTTAAACCTATAATGGCTCCCTCTATTTTGGTATCTTTTCTTGCTCTCCTCTATTCATCCCCCAACTCAATCTTCCTTATCCCTCAGGTCCTCCTCTCCCTTCCTCTTCTCCCCACAAATTCATGGAAATTGAACAATACACAATTTTACCATTCCTGGGTCAAGGAAGAAATAAAAAAGGAATTAGATACTTCCTAGAATTCAATGAAAATGAAGACACAACATACCCAAACTTATGGGACACTTTGAAAGCAGTGCTAAGAGGAAAATTCATAGCACTAAGTGCCCATATGAAGAAACTGGAAAATAGTCACACTAGAGAATTAACAGCACAACTGAAAGCTCTAGGAAAAAAGAAGCAAAGTCACCCCAGAGGAGTAGACGCCAGGAAATAAACAAATTGAGGGCTGAAATCAATAAAGTAGAAACAGCTTATGATTCTTTAGTACATAAACATTGATGTGTTCTCATTGAAAAGCTACAAGAGCTCCACAATGCAACTCACTTAGTTGAAGCTTGCAGGGACTCTAAACATCAAAGTGAGATTTTTTTTGGCCAATAAGATATCTGAAATTTCCCCATGGGTGGAGAACTTTGCAAGCTTAAGGCACACTGCCCAGTATCCGATCTGTTTTTCAGTTTAGCTTGAGATCAGATGTTCCTTTCCTTCTCTGATTTCAAGTCAGATCCCTAGGGAGATTGTCAAATGGCATCTTATTTTCAAAAATTTGAAATTCATATGCATTCACAGAGATGGGGGTTGTGAATGAGAATGTGGAAGAGCACATATTAAACTTGAGCACAGTTATAGAAAGAAATTCAGAGCTGGAAGGCACGTCAGCGACCATCTTAGTCTGGTGTGTGCAAATTTTACAATCTCAGGGGTTAAATGACTTGAGCTTTATTTGGGGTCTGCCCAAGAACTAGCAATGCAATTTTAAAGTCATTATCATCCCTCCATGTCTCATGGAGGTTTTCTATAAACCAGGGGAACTCTATTAGATGCACTCTAGATGACCCAGTCTGTAGGTATGTTAACCATTTACTTTGTTGTGAAGCTCTGAAAACAGAGCAGTTAGGTGACTTTAAACAACCAGTGAAAGGATGGCAGCCACCGTGACGGCTTTAGTACCTTATTCCCGTGTACCTCTCCTTTGAACTTGTAGAAGGGGGGATATTTCTCACAGATGTCCTGAATTTTAATGGTTTGTTTACTTATTCTGTTTATACAGATTTTTTTAATAATGAACACCAAGGGATATATTCTTTCTCTCTTTCTAGGGAATTTGTAAGGGGATATGAGCTTCCTCGTCCAATTCAGTATCTATGCTGGTCTCCTGTTGGGAGTAAATTAGTAAGTGTTTAGATTATAGAAGTGTTTAATCATTTAAATAAAAGAGGAGCCATTTTATTTTGGCCTTTGTTAAATTTCCCTGCCTAAAAGGAAAAAAAAAAAGATACATCATGACTATTTCAGTGGATAAAAATGGGAAGAGTTTGGATAAATTGAAACCCGTTTGAGAATTCCGCAAAACCTCAAGCTCATGGATACACTTCTTTAAATATCTCAGTCAAAAACTTTATCCTTATACTCAGCCAGAATGCGTTGTGCCAGAAAACTCAGGAAAAATATGGTTTTCACAAGTTTCCCAGACTAGCTTCAGACAACATGAAATTTTGTCCAAGCTCTTATTTAAGGACGCTAAATAAAGATTAGATCTGGCTAGCTATTAATATTCAGGGATTTGTTTGACTGCCTGTCAATATGCACAATTACTTATTGGGTAATAAAATAACTGTTTGCCAGTAGAAATTATTTGATGCAGATTTTATATTTTTTAATCTGTTAAATGATTTTAGTTGTGAATCCTTTTGCATTTGAATTACCAGCCCTTTAAAAAACAGTAGGTAAATAATTAAATACATATTGTTACTATATTTGTTGGAGAATTTTTTCTTATTGACTAATTTTCTATAATTTCAAGGCATATGTCTATCAAAACAATATTTATTTGAAACAAAGACCAGGAGATCCACCTTTTCAAATAACTTACACTGGAAGAGAAAATAAAATATTTAATGGGATTCCAGACTGGGTATATGAAGGTAAGCTATATTTCTTTTCTACTGCTGCTTTATTAGGCTTAAAACTGAAAATGTGCTCACATATTCAGGAAGAATTAGTTGGATGGCATCTTATTTTTATGAGTGGCTGTCCTTCTGACAACTGTTAATAAGTTGTGAATAGACACAACCTTAAAGAATAAAAATCTTGTCATCAGGGACCAGTGGAATCACTATTCATTAATGTTACTAAAAAGTACATGACTTATATTCTAAGAAGTATATGGTCCTTAGTTACTGAGTTAATGTTAGCCAATGTTTGTTTAGCTAAAGAAAGAAATCTTCCTCCCCGACAAGCAGGAAAATGTTCTTAGATTTTGATACTGACATCCTCTTGAATTTATCCTTATTTTAGGATATGTAGTACATGGGGATTAATAGGACTTTAAGAGGAGGTCTTTGGGTCTTTACTCCTCTAGTCCTTTTTTAAAAAAATATATGTGTATGAATATTTTTACACATGCACGAGCGCACACACACATATAAACACACCCGAATCAAACCTAGTTTAAAAAAACTTCTTAGGAATGAAACTCAACCTCCACTGGCAATGTCACTCGGCAGTGAAATCACAGCCTGCTTTGTCTACTTTGGGCATCGCCTGTTTACTAGACTGCCTTGTCTACCTAAGTCTGTAGCATCGTCTATTTGGGCTACTTTAGGCTATTTTTTAAATTGCCCTAAAGGGAAAATTAATTATTACCAATGTGTTTATTATTTATTTTAGATGTTGCATTTGTGGCTAACAGCAATTACTAACAAGACTAATTGATATTTGATATAGAATGAATTTTAAACTGTTCCTCTTAATTCACAGTATTTTTAATAATCAAAGTATGGCATGTTACATCCACATTAAAATGTGATTTAAGTCAATAAATATCTGTTTAGAAGTATTGACAATGATTTTTAAGTATAAGCTATAGTTGTAAATAATATGTAAATACTTATTTTTCAGAGGAAATGCTTGCTGCAAAATATGCTCTTTGGTGGTCTCCAAATGGAAAATTTTTGGCATATGCAGAATTTAATGATTCAGAAATACCAATTATTGCCTATTCCTATTACGGTGATGGACAGTATCCTAGAACAATAAATATTCCATACCCAAAGGTATGCTGGGTACTCTTTGTAGAGGCCTTTATACCCTTGATATCAGAATGAGCAATCATTACCATGAATAAAGGTGGAATCAACACATTTGGAAAGCTTCTTGTCCTTGTCATTGTAAAGCAAACACTGTACTGTGCTCTATTGTTTATGTGGACATCTGTTGCTTTGGACATCTGGCAATGCTGGAAGAAGTAGTCTTTGCAAAATCCATTGCAGAATCTTTGAAAAAAACATATGGTCTACATCATGGAGGACGAATTCTCATGTAAACGCAAACCCAAAAAGGAAATTCAAATGTGGAATTTGATGTCTTGGTCAGGTAGCATCAGGCACATGCTAAGATCCTTTGTGGAGAGAGCCTCCATTTCTTCCTTAAGGCAATTAATGGAAGTAAAGATCATGCATACTTTTTATTCAGTTCCAAGATTGGAGGATAAGTCCCTGAGTATGCAGCAAAGTAAAGATCATGCATACTTTTTATTCAGTTCCAAGATTGGAGGATAAGGACCTGAGTATGAAGCTGAATGACTGAGACAGGGAAGAGGCATTGTAACCTATTTTAAATTTAGACAAAGGCATGAGAGCAGAAAGTCAGGGATGAATTTACCTCTTTCAAAAGAATTAGATTTTTTTTTTAGAATGTGGCTTTTTTTGTACATAGCTCCTACTGCCTTTACTTGCCAAACCCTAGCCATGAATGACTCCAGTGGGTCCCTATAAGTGACAGGATGGATGTGGCATTTGCAAAAGTGGCTTTTGAAACAAACCAAAGACACCCCAGAGAGAGAAGTAGAATTATAATGTTTGTGTTAAAAGTCATTTAAGAAAAGGGAGGAGATAGGAAATGAGTGTTGAGATAGAGTCCCCTCAAGGACTGTATAGAAAAAAATGAAAAGTTGGAGATGCTTGGAAGTGAAAACGCTGATACTTAGAATCCATAATTAAAAGAACTGGAATGTTCTGGAGAAACAATGTGAGCAAGAAGAGATGAAGACACTCAGAGCTGAGGAGTAACTGCCACTTTTTATGTGTAAGTCCTCATGTTTCTTTACAGACTAGAGACACCAAAACCTTTAGTACGGGATGAAGAGATTAGAACATTCCAAAGAACTGAAGAAGTCTCAGGAAAGACAGAACATCCTTTGACTCAGTGATTCTCAACCTGTGGGTCGTGACCCATTTGGGGGTCAAGCAACCCTTTCACGTCACCTAAGACCACTGGACAATATAGATATTTATATTATGATTCATAAGAGTGGAAAAGTACAGTTATGAAGTAGCAATGAAGATAACTGTATGGTTGACAGCCACCACAACAGGAGAAACTGTACTAATGGGTCACAGCATTGGGAAGGTTGGGAACCACTACTTTAGATGAAGTCAAACAGCATGAAATTATTGAACACTGTGCTTCCAAACTTTGAGGATTCAAATTTTATTTTAACTGCAAGATTCTCTCTGAAGCAAAAAAAAAAAAAAAAAAATCAATTCAAAGTCACTGTCTAGGCATGAGGCATATAATGTCATGTAAATTTTAGGCATATAGTAGCATAAAAAGCACAAACCAAGAAAAAGTGTAAAAGCCCATGGACACTTAATTTGGTAGTGAGATTTCCCCTATCCTTTGGAAAGGGAGCAATAGTAGCAGGTTGTGAGCAACTAAGGGGATGAGCGATCTGGTAATTCAATCCAAATTGTTTGGCAAAAGGAAAAAAAGGTAAGTTCCATTTAGTTCTGCTTTTTATTCTCTGCCAAACAGATCTTCCCACTACACTTCAGAGCACACAAGTATATTGTTCATTATCATCTTAAAAATAATAAAACACAGCTGCCTCAAAAATCAAGACAGAGTAGAGGTTGCAGACATGCATTTCATATCCCCAGTGATTTCTCCTATGAATCAAGTATCTCATTAAACACATGAAATACATTTGACTCCCATTGGTACAACATTGGTAATTGCCTTGCAAGTAAAATAGAAATAAAGTTCCAGGCCTCTGTGCAGAGTATCTGTAACTTAGCTTTATTCACTTATTAAAATATGCCTAGAGTCCTAAAATGTTTTTAAAATATTAGTGGTAAGTAAAATTGTATCATCTTGTAAATTTGCATTTTCTTGGTAGGCTGGAGCGAAGAATCCTGTCGTTCGTGTCTTTATTGTTGACACTACCTATCCTCACCATGTGGGCCCAATAGAAGTACCAGTTCCAGAAATGATAGCCTCAAGGTCAGTGATCTCAGATCCCTCTCTCATTTTGTCTTGTTTTGTTTTTGGTGACAGAGACAGAATTTCTCTGTATAGCCCTGGCTGTCTTGGAACTCACTCTGTAGACCAGGCTGGCCTGCACCTCACAGAGATCTGCCGGCCTCTGCCTCCTGAGTGCTGGGATTAAAGGTGTGTGCCACCACCGGGCTCTGTTTCTCATATTAAACCAATTCCAACAAGCTGAACTTCCTATATCATAGTTTAGGCTTCTTTTCTAGTGAGTTAAAGATACCCGTGCCAGAAGCAGAAAATTAACATGCAAGATGCATGCAAATTAAAAGTCACAAATAAGTTTCTTGAACTAGTTTTTAAAACACCCTCTCACTCATTTGAGAGACTCATTTAAAGGTGACCATGGTGATGAATCGAAAGCTTTCTGGAGATTTCCTCGGAGGTAGAAATGTAAAGTTGGGACCAAGGTGTAGATGCAAATATCTTCAGCATGACTCCATTAAAGTCTGATCTACTTCCCTCGAGCCAAGGTTTCTAGATCTCTGTGTGTGTGGGAGCATTATAAACCAGATAAGACAACTCTTCTCAGACATCAGCATTTTCCTACTGTGATATAGTCTGGTTTTGATTATCTGGCTGTAGAACTGTATGTGAAGGAACTGTTTATTGACAAACTGGAAAATGAAGTATTTGGGCTAGAGAGAATCTTCAGAAGCATAGTGCTCTGGCAAAAGAATGAAATTTACCTCCCACTATGCCCAGATGGCAGATGCCCTCTTCTTGCCTCTTTCGGCACTGGGTTCATGTACATAAACCAACACTCAGCTATGTAATGCATACACACTTAATAAAAAAAATTTTTTTTGGTTTGTTTGGTTTTTTGAAACAGGGTCTCTCTATGTAGTTCTGACTGTCCTAGAACTTGATTTGTAGACCAAGCTGGCCTCCAACTCACAGAGATCTGCTTGCCTTTGCCTTCTGTGTACACACCGCCACACCTGGAAAAAATAATTTCTTTAAAAAAAAAAGGAAAAGAAACTTCTCTAGCATACCTCATATATACCTGTCTGACTAACGTTGATCATAGTACCCTTCCAGGCCTAAGCCAGTCTTCTGTGTCTTTCTGGTTGAATTGGTAAACAAATAAAAAGAAAAAAAATAGTCTCCAAGAGCCTCACCTGCCTAGCACAGAGGGCTTAGGTCTTCTTCAGCTACACCAAGGAAAATCAAGCAGAGTCAAACAATTGCTCACAACAACCTGGTAAATGGAAACTTGAATAGGTGATTTTTTAAAAAAAAAATATTATTCTCCTTTAGTGACAAAATTGTGGAAACAGCACATAAGTCAAGAGGTATTCTAAGCACTCTTGCCCCATATTTGCATACTTAAGTCAGTATATTGTTATTTCAAATTTATACAGAAACAAAGAACTACATGGCTAAATACTTTCACTGCAGTAGGATACTATGAGGTCAGGATTTGAGCCCCAAGTCCCTTCTAGCTCTATGGAAAATTAAAATGTTCTGCAATTATGGCTGTAAATTTACATTCACAGAAAAATATAATCATCACAGCCATTCACTGACACTTAAGTATGTTAATAAACACTATCTAAGCTATTTACATCATCTAATTATTATATTAACCCAAGTTTCAGCACTTGACCATGGTGACAGCTAAAACTTTCCTTCTATGACGAATCCACCAGGAAACAAAGTTGGGTACATAATAGAAAATTTAACACTTTTATCCTCTTAGCTAGATATATAGCTTTTCCTTTACATATTAATATTTTTGTCAAAATGGGGAGAATACTCAAGTATAAAATAATTTGCTTAGATGAATAAGCTCTTATTTATTCTAGCCAGCAGAACTATTTAAATATTCTTCTCAGAGAAAGCTTGTCTTCCTTACCTACTAAATATATATCCTATAATAACAACTGTCTTTTAGAAAAATATAAAAGATAAAAAATAAAAATATAAATGAAGTTATCATTTAAATGTGGTAATGAGCATCTGTTTTGGTTTGTTTGCAGTGACTATTATTTCAGCTGGCTCACATGGGTGACTGATGAACGGGTATGTTTGCAGTGGCTAAAGAGAGTGCAGAATGTCTCCGTCTTGTCTATATGTGACTTCAGGGAAGACTGGCATGCATGGAGTTGTCCAAAGGTAAAGTGTATTAAAACCACTGGTAACTGTTTCCGAAGATGAAAATACAACAGGAGCTTCTTAGATGTTGGTTGTGTTTTGTATTGTAATGCAGGATTTGGTGCATTCAGCTTCTTGTTGTTATTTAAAACAATGTGCCACATATTCACAGTCATCCCAGCATTGTTGCTACATATTGCATAGTAGTTGTTTTCTTAAAATGCTTTTCCTTTGAATGTAGAAAAATGCTAAATGAGACAATGTGACATCAGGATGATGGTCCTCTGGTTTGAGATTGTCAGGTTAGCCAAACAAAGAAGATAAGACTAGAATGAATGGGTCTATTAGGAAAATAGCTGTTTCACACAAAGATGAAAAAGAAATGAAAATTAGACATGTTCTATCTTGTCAAAAATTGGGAAAAATTACAAGAGGGATTCAAATAATACCTATTTTTAAATCAAAGGTGGGTGCCTGATAATAGGACATGGACTATTGGATTATTATGCACATTACAAAACTGTCCAGTTATTTTTTTTGAAGAGCATCCCCAACTGCACTAATCCAAAGGTGGGAAGCTTGAAAATAAGATACAAATTTGTTTATAAAAACAAATAAAATTGTTTTTATTTTTCAAATTCAAACATAATCTGTTGAAATTAATGAGTCAAAAACTCATCAGTCTAAATCGTTAAAATATCCCTGTTTTAAGTACTCGTTTTAGAGACTAAAATATTAAAAGAAAATTTTCTTTAAATAAGAAATATTGATGAATGCATTATGAGAGAGTTCTAATTATGAAGTGCTTCATTAAGCCAAATGTAGAGTAAACTTATTTTATGAAGTTAAGGTCCGGATCAATCAAAATAAGTCATTAAATTCCATCTAGGAATTAGAACATTTTATTTTATAAGGAGAATATTTTGTTCTGTTGGAAATATATCAGGGCTATACTAGTCATCATTACTTAAGCTTAAAATATTTTTAAGTCATTATCTTGTCAGAAAGAATCTTGAGTAACCTTAAGAAAATTTGCTAGACACTGAGTTTGTCTCATTTATGTCTTTATAAACAAAGCAAAAAAGTTTTTAGTAGTATCATTGGCAAATCAAGATTTTAATTAAACTAGTTAATTGGATCACACTGAACTGATTGACTTGCTCTGGTTGGATACATCTTTAACACTCCCTGAATCTAAGCATTATGAACTCTGCTTTAATGCTATTAGCTTGGAAACTATGAACATAGACAAATAAAAACTTATTCATTTGGAATCTGAAATCACAATTTATCAAAATATGAGACAATTTTAACCTAAATTGACAGAAGGGGTTCCTAGAAAATAAACTTTGTGGCTAGAAAAGTAATTGCATTTAGAATACCTTGGCGGAATGAACTCATTATTTTCCAACAGCCACACTAATGACAAATGTATTTGTGTTTTGAAAACCAGTAGTATTTGAGGAAAATCACCCTATGTATTATTCATGTTACTAGACATGAAAGAGGTAAAGAAGCTGGAGATATTTATAATATAACAATATTGGTGCGATTAATTAAGAAATCCATAGCTTGCTGGGCAGTGATGGTGCACATCTTTAATCCCAACATTTGGGTGGTAGAGTCAAAGGTATCTGAGTTTGAAGCCAGTCTGGCCTACAGAGGGAGTTTCAGGACAGTCGGGGCTATACAAAGAAACCCTGTATCAAAAAAAGAAAGGAAGGAAGGGAGGGAGGAAGGAAGGGAAGGAGGTAAGGAGGGAGGGAGAGAGAGGGGGAAAGAAAAAAATATATGGCTTAATGAACAACCATCTTATATATTATTCTTGTCTCTCTAAAAATGGACGAAAATAAATTTTATCTTTGTGACTAAAATTACACACAATCTTTTTTCCAATCTTGCATTTCTTTTTCTCTGTGAGGCACTAGTACCACCATAGGAGATAATCAAAAATTCCCCTTAAAATTCTTTTCATTTTCTTGCCATTTTTGAAGAGTATATATTCTCAAGATCTTTCTTTTATTTTGACTGTGTGCATGTACGTGCGCGCGTGCGCGCGCGCGCGCGCGTGTGTGTGTGTGTGTGTGTGTGTGTGTGTGTGTGTGTTCTGAGAGGGGGCACACATGTGTGTTCACACTAGAGTGTAGAAGCCAGGGGACAACTTCAGGTGCCATCCTCTGAATGTTGACCATGTCCTTTGTACAGAGCCTCTCATTACCCTAATTTCAGCATTTAGACTGAACTGTTGTGCACACAAGCATCCAACAGGTCCCAGGGAACAGTGCTGGATTTACAGGTTCGTACTAACATGCCTGCCTGACATTTTTAAGTGTCATCTGGGGCTGGAACACAGGTCATCATGCTTGCAAGGAAAGCACCTTCCCAACAAGCCATTCTCACAGCCCCTATTCTTCTCTTTCCTAGATAAGTCTCACTTAGCTAGAATTTTGTTTCTTTTCAAAATTATAATGTAATTACAATTCTCCCTTCCCTTTCTTCCCTCCAAATACTTCTGTACCCCCTCCCCACTTTCTGTTAATTACATGCCCTCTTCTTTTCTATAATTGTTACTGTATGCACATATGTGCATACATATATGTTCCTCCATAGAACCTAGTCAGCCATATAATGTCACTTGTTTGTATGTTTTCAGGCTATTTGTCACTGGACACATAATCCATGTGCTCTTGTCTGGGGAAGACTGTCTTTCCAGTCCCCAGCCTTCCTGAGTTGCCTATAGGTTTTTTGTTGTTGTTGTTGTTGTTGTTGTTTTTGTTTTGTTTTGAAAGTGGTGAGGGAGGTAAGGCCTCATGGGCTTTTCCCCAACTGCTTTGTCATGCCCATTGGTGTCATTCTTGTTTAGCTCAAATTTGGGCAGTGATGCTGATCACCTACATGGAAGCTTTATTCTCTAGGTAACGAATCTCCAAGGCAAGCCAACAGCACTGCTGTAGGAGAAAATTCCAATGCCTTAAGTGGCTTAATACTTTATAGAAAGGCTTTAAATTTAATATGAATTTATGGTTCAATAACAAGCCCAAGAAAAGGAGATGTGGTGTGAGTGGGTCCTCTGCTCCATAACATAGTTCAGAAGCTCCGCCAATGGCATTTCTGTTATCTTAACTTGTGATTCTGTCATTAATAGTCATCTGGAGCAAAGAGAAAATAATGGGGGGTTCTGCATGGGATGTCTTTATGGGAAGCGCTACAAGCCACTTGTTTCCCTTTCTGTTCACACACTGTTTCTAAACCTTATCACTTGACTCCATCCCACTATAAGAGAAGCTGGGGAATGTGGCTCAGCTACAGGAAAAGTCTTTCCCCAAAGTATCATCGATTATCCTGCTGGTTCTTTCACAACTGTCCAGTTAACTCCCTCTGGGTGATCTTTATTCATAGCAGAAAGTTTCCAGAACTATTTGTCCATAACTCTCAAACATTATTTCTGCTGAGCAATGTCTCCTCTACTCTTTCTTGATCTGGGTCTTTACCAATATTTCCTAAACGTTAGCATTCTAGGCCTTGGCTCATTCCACCATACCCACTACCAAATCCACATTGTCTCTCATGTTTACAATTACATTTTCTATATTTGGCACGTGAAGTTCTTCAAATAATTTATCCACAGACATGCTGAGTTCCTGGATGGTATAAGGGTTTCTTCAAGATCTTGCTGATATCTGTGTCTTCTTTGATTCCAAATTCCCTGTGGCACTTTCCTGATCATCCACTGTGGTTACTCCAGCATCTATACCTATTAATTCAACTCAAAATGTTTGTTACTTCTCTAGAAAAAAAAGTACTATTTACCTTTTAGGATTTTTAAGTATTTATTTGAGATGCGATACTTCTGCATGTTGCTGAAACCTAAAAACACAAGTGTTTGGTTTCTAGTTACCTAAAAAGGAAAGAAAGACTACAACCTTGGCCTCACTATGGAATTCCCTCTTTTCTATGTCACGCCGTCTGCTTGTTTGTGCTGAACTCCCACAGGTGTGCAATAATTCCAATGCCCACTGCATGGAAGAGTTAACAAGAAAAAAATTCAGAAATTGAGTTCAGCACTAATTTTCCCATATAGACTTCAGCAGTGCTGCTCTGAAATAACTTTAATAAAGTCTCCCCAACTGGAGGCTGAGCAGTAGGACATGATGAACAGGTGGCTTTACTTTTCAAATGTCCAGATTACACATTTGAAAACCTGGTCTTTTTATCCTTTAATATGATTTTTTTGTCTTTTAGACCCAGGAGCATATAGAAGAAAGCAGAACAGGATGGGCTGGTGGAGTATGATTTTCCTATCTTTTCCTTTATTTTAATGGTACCCAACCTATTCTCTGAACAGAGTTTTACACAGTTCATGAATTCCAACTGGTTTGTTATGGTTAGGTATCAAACAGGAAAATGTGTTTATGATTTATGGTTACTCTTACTCTCCAGAAAGTTTTGATAGAGTTATTTAGCAAGGGGGTTTGTTTGGTGTAAAAAAAAAGCATGTTTTAAGGAAATCAATTGTGTCTCGTATTAATTAATCTATATTTATTAAGAGAACAAAAGATGGAGAGTAAGTAAATGTTGTGTGGATGCTGCCATATGTCACAGTGATTGCATCCAGCAAGCCTTTACATTGGGAGGCTGCTCTGCTGAGATTTAGACATGGTCTATAAAAAGGGAAACATGAGTATTAATTTCAATCTTTGGAAATTAATTTAGTAGTGGAACTTCTAAATTTCACAAGAAGAACTATCCAAAAAACCCATAGTGTTCACCTTGGGAGTAAGTTCCCATCCTCTGAAGGTACCTGCTTTATTGACTAGTTTTCCTTGACCTGTAGTCAAACTGGTAGCAGTGAAATTAACTCAAGAAAACTTAGATACCTGTACATGATTCATACAGTCATTTAGGCAATGTGTGTGTTACTTGGGATCAACAAGGGCCACATATACTAGGCAAGTGCTCTACTGTAAACTACATCCCCAGTCTTTGTTCAGTGAATATTTATTGGGTCTTTAGACAAATTGCAAAAGCTAGCCATACTAGTATATAATAAATAGTTATTTTCAAAAAATGGTTTCTTTAGAATCTATCCAAGAGATTTAAACTGCAAAGGTCACAGAAATTAACTAGAAATATTTCCCTGTAAATATTCAAAATAAAAGAACCTAAATTTTAGTTCTTCACATTTTGAAATAAGCTCTGAAATCATAATGCTTAGACTAGAGATATAACAAACCATCTAATTAAGCAATGATCCACACATCTCTGGCTTGTTTCGAAAACCTCTTGATTAAAAACAAAACATGAATTTTGTGTTTGATATCTGAAAGCCTGTACTTTTGACTAATTGTTAACTCTGTTTAAGCATCATCTTTTGCCATTTCGGGAGGATGGCATAATACAGCACTGTGATATGTAAGCTTACTTTCTAGGTAAGATATTTTAAATGGCTTTGCACTTCGCAGAGAGATAAGCAATTTATCAGAAAATCTAAGCATGATAAAGAAACCAGAGCAGGGCCTTGTTAAAGCTGAGGTCAGTGCAGATGAATGTCTTATCTAGGGTCCAGGTGTGACTTGCTGCAATAAGCACTTAACTCGGAATGCATTATGGTCCTCGCTCTGACAACATGATAGCGGAAATATTTCACAGCCTCTTTACCTCACCTAAGCTACCTGCTCATCGGAAGCAACTGGCTTCCATGTGTGCAATGAAAGGGAGGAGATAACAGGCTTATCCTAGCAGAAAGATTCTTCCTGTTTGCCTGGTTCTAATATCTTAAAACAAAACAGTCTTCCCTGTAATTTTTTTTTATTTTCAATACAAATGAAATTGCAAGCTTTACTCAGAATACAATCCTTTAAAAGTCCCTTAAGTAGCTCACTAGGTATATGGGGAATAACTTTTCACTGTTTTTCATTAAAATATCCTGTGACTTGGGCTCCATTTTAGTGACTAAGACAATGCAGAGTATGAGTATTGTGAAGAAGGTCTGTGTAATTCTGCCTTTATGTAGTCGAGGGCAAAACTTTTTGAAATGAAAGAACAACTTTGTCAAAAGCCTATACTAGTGTAATGCTTGTCCACCAAATTGCAAATTAATTTTCCAGTCCCTAACCTCTTGATTGACTTAATGTAATCTGTCTCAAGATGCAAAATCCTACAGAGTAGATCTTATGATGGATGATGCTTATGAATATATACACAGAAACAGCCTCGAATTACTCAATTTTCAATTCTGCTACAAATTGATTTAAAGACAAATCAGACATTTACATTTAGCAGAATTCACTTGAGCAAAGCCTTATTCATGGAGCAGGCAGCCTCCAAGACACAGAGTTCTTTCCTGTGTCTCTCCATGTTGCCTGGTGTACTTTCTCTTATGAGAACTGTGGTTCTTGGATCTAGGGCTGACACTAATCTAGTAGGATCACAACTTCCATTTTTATCATAATTACATCTGTAAAGCTTCCATCCAGGTGGAAATGAATTTGGAGAAAGATTATTTACCCTGTAGAGATAAAAGAGATACATTGCATTTTAATGGCACAAGATCACAACATAAGAGAAATAGTTTTATCACAAAAATATCCAGCATCAGATCACATCCAGATGTGATCATGAAATAAGCCCATAGCAATTCCTCCTACTTTCCCTTTGCTCAGAAATTGGTATCAGAAAAGACATAAAATGGGACAAACGTTTGTGGCTAGAAGATACTGGTGTGTGCTTTGGTGTTTATTGTTTTCTGATAGATTTCCATACCCCAATATTAAGTCTCTCCAACGATGCAATAAATCAGATCAGGCCAAATTAAAGTCCAGGTTTTAATTTGAGAAAAACATTCCCAGGTGGTCCAGGGAAGGAGAAGTAACCATGAGGGAGAACTATGTGGCAGGTTGAGCAGTACCTCAAATTGCCTATAGGCATGGTCCTGAGCATCCCAGGTAGAGGAGCCACTTATGGCAGGCTTTTTCAGGGGCGTGGTCTGTAATTGGAGGATGGGGCCTGGGTGGAGCTTCTCAACATTTTCCTCTGGTGTAAAATAGCTGAACAAGTTTGTATACTGTTCAATAGACTTAAACCAGAGAGAGAAACCAGGTTTTAAGGTGTTCTTTAATGATACAGACATACTGTTCCATGGACATAAACCAGAGAGAGAAACCAGGTGTTTTTTTTTTAAATGTAAGGAAATTTTATCTATAAGAACATAATTACATACTTAAATTATGACAAAAGTTTTTCAATCTAAACTAATGACAAATTTTAATTATTTGAGCATTGTTAGTTGGAATATAGCAACTGAACATCCTTATAGCTAATACTGAGAAAGAATATGAGCTAAGTACCATTTCTTCCTTCTCCTTGACCCCCTCTTCTTCCCCTGCCCTCCTCCCCCCCCCCCCCCCCCCCCCTCCCCTCCCCCCCCCTCCCTCCCCCCCCCCCACCCCACGCCCCATCCCATCCACCCTCCTCCACTCCTCAGGCAGGGTAGGACCCTCAACTGGGGCTCCCCAAAGCCCACCACGTCATCCTGGGCTGGGCCTAGGCCCTCCCCCATGTGTCCAGGCCAAGACATGGGATGGGCTCTCAAAGTCCCTTCTTACACCAGAGA